AGCATAAGTGGAATAAATAAATAAATAAATAAATAAAAACATGTAGAGTGCCACAAGTATATTCATATGTCGAACTTTAGTAATTCTCACGTGTAATATTGGTCGCCCTATACGGCAATATTACTAAAATACCTATTAAATATCTCAGTTAATAGGCGAAGTTAATCAAATCAAATCTCGTACTACAAAAGAGATTAAGTTTTTATAGATAGATAGATAGTTTATATAGGAAGCACTATTGGAAGAAGATTGTTTTATAATGGATAGACATATTATAACGAACGGTCGAATTTGATATATATAATCTCATAGAGACTTTACCAATTATTATTAGCCAATTTACCTCAGTTAATTCATTTATTTTGTTTTCATTTCCTTCAACTGGCAGAATGAAACTTTGCAAATCAGTTTCATAATCACACATTTTTTTCTTGCTTGACTACCATTTTTACTTTGTCGATAAGGCACCAAACCAAACAAAAACTTATAATCCAGAATCAAACAAAACTTTTCCAAAACAAGGCTTGCTATACTAGCTGTTAAAATATATAATTTAAATACGGCTGAAGTGTAAATTTGGCTGCGAAAAAATACAATTACCCACTGTTGGGAAAAACCGGAATGACTTTCTGAACAAAATAATATTAATCTTAAATTCATAGATATCTTTAGGTCAAAAACGGTGTAATTCATGACCAGTGCAGGAGAGTTATAACAATTTTTTTTGTAAGAATCGCATTTGTGAGACCTTTCAGCACATCTTTCTAGCATCAAAAACTGAGTCTATTTTGAGAATCTTAACATTGAGGAAAGGACAATAGTAGTTCGAATTAAATCGGGCCCCTTAGAACTCTAATAAGAAGTTTTACTTCCCGGGACTACACTTAGTTATTATAAGAACAACAAAAACTGTAATGACGTCTTTAAGTCCAATAGAAAGTTGAGATTTCTCAGTTACGATATTAGTCCGTATATTTTGGTTTTAGTTTCGATATGATGATGTCAATTAAAATCCAAGAATAGTTGGGTTCGCTTGTCCAGTTTTTCATTTCTCCCCAGTACCGAAGGATGGACTCTATTGGATTTGTGTTTCCCTTTTTAATTGAAGAAACTTATAAGTTTTTTTGATCGTAATTGCTTTCCGTGTCATCTTAGTGATGTCCTCAAGTAGGTTTGTGTGTTGTATGCGTTTGGAATGTCCACGGTGGCAAATATTTCTGTTTATAGCATTGAAAAGTAAGAAGTTGAAACTGGTCACATAAATACTTTTAATTTATTAAGACAGACCAAATGTAAAAAACGCTTCGCAATTCCGCTTTTAATAGGCAAAAACTTGTAGCTCAGATTACATAGCAAATATTAATGTAAAGCTTATTAAATTCCCTCTGGCTATTCTGAAAGTTGCTCTTCGATTACAGGCCCATAAATAATGAAAGACAGTGCAAATTGTGCACGTAGGTTTGAAATTATGGGTAGGAACAATTTCATCTGAAACGAGCATAACTTTGAGTGTGTTGTCAAACTTAATAACAAAGCAACAGAGAAAATCGTAACTTTCAGTTTCAATAAACCAAAAGATGAATCGATTGGCGGATGTGTCTAAAATGACTCACAACCTGAAATAAGCAATTTTTTCGACAATTTTTTTTGGACGGAAAATAATAATATTTAAGGAGGCTAGTACACACAACTACTAAGTAATCCTCAAATTTCTGGTGGTTTTTCCCCCGACATCAGGTTGAAATATATTGATTTCAGGTGGCTAGAGAAATAATTAGGGTTAAAGGTATATGCAATTACGTAAAGCAGGCTTACACAGGCTGATCGACTATGTTATAAGTATGTACATAAGCATACTTAGTCTTACTTTTCTATATCAAAAAGAGCTGCAAAAGCACGTAGAAAAATATGAAATATTTATGACACTAATGCTGTGGTAGAACGCACTTGCCAAAATTGGTTTGCGAAATTTCATTCTCGATTTTCTTCAATGACTAAAGGTTATGGTTAGGTTTCTTCTTCCAACTAAAGGTTATGATTAATGCTGATAGACACACGATGATTCAGAACATTACAGAAAAACTTAATTCATCCAAAACATCTGTTAATGAACGCATAAAAAGTTTAGAGAAAAACATTCATTTGACATAACGTCTTAATATTTGCAATGTGCTGTTAAACCGAAATCAAAAGGATCAATTTCTGAAAAGAATTGTAACTAATGATAAAAACTAGATCCTATACAAAAATGTTTAATGCAATAGATCACGGGCAAAGCATGAGGAGCCATTTTAAACAACTCCGAACCCCTATATCCACGAAAAGATGATTTTGCTCTGTGTGCGAGGTTCATAAGACAATTGTATATTATGAGTTTTTACCGCATCACAAAATAACTAACTTTTGAATTGTAATGTGAAGAACTAACTAAATTGAATGAAGCCTTGCAGCAGAAACTTCCAGGATTGACCATCAAAAAAAAAACTTTTGTGTATCACTACAGACCTCATATCCAGATAAATAAATTGCCGGAAATGTCACAATTTTTTATTGAATAAAATAGCAAAAATATAGATTTTAATGAAGTTTATTCCTTATATCAAAAAAAAAGAAAAATGTTTTATTTCATAGTGAAAAAGCGCAAGAAGTTTCCAGACTACCTAATATAAATACCGGCAAAGAAAGTTATTTTGATAAAATATAGCTACGTCGTGGCTATGAACGTAAGGTACTATTTCTTTAAGTTCTGCTCTTTAACCTCTTCCTATATTAGTACAAAAGTGAAATTTAAAAGGAAAACAATTACTTTATCTATACGCTATAGATACTCTTTCATTAATAAACAAGCAAAAATAGTACAGCCTACAACCCACAATTGTTCATATAATGACTTTTTAAAATAAGATTTTTATTTTTTATTTATTTATTTTATTTTACTAACACTTGACTCTCAAAAATAAATCTTATACTAATTAATATTAAAAAAGTATAGACATTAAAAATTATTAAATAATAATTCATGTGTGATTAAATAATAAAAAAAAATACTTGTACTTACATAAGCATGTTTTATATAGGAAATTGCGGAAGAAGTGGCCCGGTCCGAACCATTTTCAATAATAATCGTTCTTGGGCCAGAAGCGTTAGTATTTTAAAAATTGGGGCTGGTAAGCCCAACACAAGGAAGCTCGACGGACAGACGGACAGAGAGGGTCATATCGGTTCAGAAAGTGGTTATGAATGATTCCGAAAATGATTTTAGATCGGTTAGTGCAATAAAAAGAATTCAATTTCAAGTCACTTTTAGCGAATTTTCTGAGGATTTCAACACATCAATTGGCTCATGCCATGGAATTCGTTTTGGGCACGAAACATATGGCCTATGTGCGATGCATGTTTCGAAATTCCTAAATTTTGGTCGAAAGAACAGGAGCTGTTGAATGACGTCGACAACGACCCAGATTCACTAGAAAAGGTCATAATTAGTGACGAAAGTTGTTTAACGGTTATGTCGTCAAAATCAAAGCCCGATAATCCAAATGAAAATTACCAGAAGAGATAAGACCGAAAAAAGCTCGCCAAGCTCCTCCTATGACTTTTTTCTGTTCCCAGAACTGGGAAGATCCATGAAAGGAGCTTGGCCGCTGATAAAGGGTACATCACTGAAACCTGAACCTTAAAAGGGATATAAAAAGCGAATAGTAGAAGCGCTTCGAGAATTGAATGAAGCGCTGGGATAAACATATTATATCTAAGAACGATTACTTTGAAGGAAACAAAATAGATATTGATATTTTTCAGGAAAATAAAAAGTTTTTTTTTTGAACACATCTCGTAAAGCGCTCGGGCGATAGCAATATCTGATTAGAAAGAACCGGTAGGCAACCGTAAGCATATAGAAACAATTTTGGCACATTGAACACGTAAACTTATGCTTATACTCTACTAGTGACAAAGATTTAATGTGTGTTGGAAAATGTTTATATTATTCCAGAGGAGACCAGAAATTTGCAAAAACCGTTTTTCGTAATATTTTCGTACTGCATAGTATCTCGAGATATGCCTTCTTAGTTTTTGGTACCAAAAATGTGAACCAATCATTTTTAAAGTATCTAGCTAACGTACATAGATGATAATGAAATCATATAATTTATACTTACTTTTTTTTTTATTATGATTTAATATCCTTTAATATCCATATTATCTGTAGTCAGTGGGCGAAGGTATTTGGCATTTAATATTGTGTATAATTAAATTTAAAATATTTTAAATAAAATATTAGACGCATTTTATTTTACAATTACACAATCACAATATACATACATACACACTCACGCGCACATAAACACCTATTAAATCACTTCCAAAGATGGGAAAACATAGACAAAGACGAGTATGTGCAGTCGGTCAAGTTTAATAGATAACGAAATGCACAACACATTTTCAATGTATTTTTTTTTTTTTTATAAAAGTAGAAGTAAAGGACGAAGAAGAACTAGTGATGGAAAAAGTGATAAGCAATACTTGCTTAGATATGTGTGTGGAAAGAAAAATGATGATAATAATAACAAGAATAGCAATATAACAAGATTTCCAAACCAACATTTACCACATTAACCACCATCTTTAAGTGTATATCAAGGCATTTACTTTTTAGGAAAATATTCTTCAGAGTAGAATTGAAAAAAAAACAAAAATTAGTAGCAAATTTATCTTTTCTTTGTGTTGCGGTTTAAATAACGTATGCTTAATAAAAGTAAAATATAAAAAAAAAAAAAAATTAGGAAACCTTTTGAAGTTTCCGTTTTGTAAAAAAAAGGAAAAAAATGATCTGATGTTTTTTTTTTCTTGTATTGTTTCCTTAAACTGTTATTATTATTTTCACTACTTTGAGCTCTCATTCTTTAATTTAGTGCTGCATACGCTTGCTTTTCTCTCTTCTCTCTCTTTCTCTCTCTCTCACGCGTTTGTTAATTTCCTTATTTTTGTTTAATTTTCTTTTTTTTTATGACTTTAAGAGAATTTTGAATTGTACGTAGCCTTCTCTGACATGAATGACGTTTTCTCTTATAATGACCAAAGATGATTTTTCCATGTTGAAACAATTTTTAGGTATTTTTGTTAAGCTTTGTTCACTTAGAAAAATATATATGAAAATGTATTTCGAAAAAGCGCTTAAAGAAATTTCAGTTTTTCTCTTAAATTTTTACTCTTGTGTTATGCGAATGTTTGTTATGTCAACCAACATAGCAAACTAAATTAAGCATGAAAAAAATAAATAAAAAAGAGGAAATAAAAGTATAGGAAAAGAAAAAGTAAACGAATACGAAACCGAATATGAACATTTGATGTAAAAAGAAATATCATTTAAAGATAGAGAAGCGTGCACATAGATGTAGTTACAGATGCGGGGTAGATGGGTATCGACGTATATATGATGTGTATATATCAGTAGGTGTATGTGGACTTAATGTTCATGGAATAAGAACACGTTAAGTTTTTTCACTTTACTTCTTTTTTTTTTTTTAATTTTTTGCTACTTTTTTTCCTTGCTCACTTTCTTTTACACTTATTCTTTTGCTTGTTAAGATTTAGAGTTATACTTTATATAATTAAAAAAGAAAAGAAAAAGAACAACGAATTCCAATAATATTTTGCTGATCGACAGTTTTCTTTAATGCACTTTATATTAAGTAAGTAATTTTTAATATTTTTTTGACATCATTTTGGTTTACAGTAGACAGGACTACAGCTGTTCGTGATTATTTAGATTGTTTAAAGAACACATTCCCAGCCTTTTCTGGTCACACAGTCACACATCTATGTTGTTCGCTCGTTCTCTTTTTATATAAACCCAGGACGATAGGAAGAACACTTCATCGTTAAGTAAATTTTTACAAAAAAAAAAAAAAAAAAAAAAATGTTTAAACCTATATATATCTACAGCTTTTTCTTACTTCAAAGTTTCGATTAGTTTTTGTTTTTCAAGAATATTTCACAATTTTTCTTTTAGTTTGCAATAAGCGTTTGGTAACATTCGCAAATGTTTGTAATTATATAACCGATACGTACATAAAACAAATTTTCTTTGCTGGGCTTCAACCATTTTCAGGTAATTTTTGAGTAACTTTTCTCTCTCTTTTTCTTTTTTTTGTCGTTTTTTCGTTTCTCGGTACAAATTACCCAAAAAAAAAAAAAGAACTAAGACGTATCAGATGTTTTTCATTCGGTTTTACTTCACTTTTTTCTGCATTTTTATTTAGAAAAAAATATAGACAGAAAATTTCGGTTGGACGTACCACTCGTAACATATACGTCGTTATTGTAAAATCACTGGATTTCTTGTTCTGATATATTTCTTTTTTATTTTTTTCCGATATATGCGCAAAGATTCTTTTGTTCTGGGAAAGTTTTCGTTCTTTCTACGAAAAGGAAAAAAAAAAAGAAAATACTTCCATATATGTACATATGCATATATGTTTTAAATAATTTTCTTTTCATCTATTTATTTTTGAAATGGTTTTTGGTTTTTTTAAGAAATGAGTTTTCTCGTGCTTTTTGTCCTGTAGAAAAAATTTTGCAAAACAAATTTTTTTTTTTTTTTTAATTTAAAACTTTCAAAAATATGAAACGATTGCGCGTCGCAGGATGTACGTACTACCCTGCTTCTTGGTTGATGGCCCCAAATGGCACTGACTACAACACTATTGCAGATGGCGCTTAACTGGAAAATATACTATATTACGACTTATACTACGCCATTTTCGATACAGTATTTCAGGGTTTTTGCTATTTTTTTGCTATCGTTATTCTTATCTACTCTTCATTATTCTCTCTATGATTTCTCTTCTTTATTATTTGCTCTTAATACGTAATTTTCGAAGTTATCGAATTTGATGAAAAAAAGGGCTGGTAACCCTAAATTCAAAAGTATTTATTCCCTTCCTCTGTCTCTCTCTCTCTCTCTCCCTCTATCCCAAGTATTCATTCTCTCTATATCTCATCACCATATCACATATGTATTACTTTCGTGAAATGTTATATTCAATTAATTATATTAGTTTCTCTGGTTTCATCTTCAATTATTAGATTTTATTTCTTTATTGATTACATTGTTTCCTTGTTTGCCCGTTAATGTCGTTCTTGTCTCTTTAGGTGTCTTTTGCCTCATACACCGCAGTAATCACTCTCTCTCTGTCTCTCCCGCTCTCACCGCTATCTCTCTCCCGCTCTATTTATATTTTGCTTTCTATCTCCTTCTCATTTTCTCTTTATTCTTTGGTAGCTTTAATTTTTATTAACTTTTATTAATATATATTAGCATTAATGATAAGAAGGCTAGGAGTGAGCTCAGTTCTGGCCATCATCACATTTCGATGTCTGCATAGTATAGGAGTTGAATTATTTTTGGAAGTTTCTTAGCTCTTTCTTTTTGTAAGGATAAACGATTCTGGTAAACTAATTCGCCCTTCTGTTTGTAATACCAAGAAACAGGTCTAATGTAGATTTTATCAATGGCTGAGAATGTCTAGGGTCGATGTTTGGTTTCAAAACTTTTCGATTCTACAAGATTTTATAATTAATTCGAGATTCGAGTTTCTTATATTCACTATCACCTTACAGTTTCTTCTGGTAAAGGGGGTTTTTATATAAATAGTAAGCAAACACGTATAAGTGTAGAAGCAATTCGTTACCCTTTTATTTTTTATGAAAAACAACGCACCTGTATCAAGAAAATACCAATAGAAGTAAGAACACTACAAACGGGCAAAGGGGCGTGCTGTTTAGCCATTTTTCTTAATCAGTAACAATACATTTGGCTTTCTGTATTAATTACTATGAAAATGAGTTTTTTGTAAGAAACACATTTTTTCAAAGGTTTTATTGTCAATGCGGCCAATGTTCTGGAAGACGCCGTCCCATGTTAATTATCCATTATTATCCGGTGCTTGCTTGTCTAACACAATAAAGAGAAATCTTAAGAAACTATAGTTGGGCGCCTTGCTTGTTTCATCCAATTGCATGAATTTTTTTTAAAGTTTTGAACTTCTGCAGAATTGTGGAGAAAATTGAATAGGCGTGCGGAGACATGTTTCATGCCAAACATAAAGGATGTACTCGCATCTTAATTTAAATTTCCATTGTCTTAGAATCCAAATAAAAAATTGTAAAGCTCAGAAAGACGCAACATCGTATTCGAATAAGATTTTGACTCGTCTTAGCCATGTAATTTCTTCATTCTCTTTTAGCCATTTCCGTTGATCATTCTGTAAGCCTGTTTGCTGTTGGAATACTTGCGATAGGAAAAATTAATTTAAAAAGCTGATGACGCAATGCATTCGTAATTTGTGACCAACCTAGGAAACATCGAGGTTGTTTTCACATGTGGGTTATTGCACAAAATGGAGCTAATATTTACCAAATCACACAATGCTCGGTGGAAAAATGGACGTCGCCCGTTCACAATAGGCAAAAGAGTCTCTTACTTATCACCTATGGAAGGCATTAAACTATGACCTCATACAAATATTTAAAAGTCCGACGAAACCATTTGCGTTTTGCTTCCGCACAAATGTCTACCCGTAGAATCCAAGCAGTCAGTCTGGCTTGTCCCTAACATGTCTTTTTGATAATCAGTAAGAAAAAAAGAGAGGGAGAGAAAAGAAAATGTACCCAGCTAGGAAAGGCATACAAATGTATGAAACGTATATAAATGTATAAACTCTATAAAATGTATACACATGTATGACACGTATACGAATGTATAAAGTCTATAAAATGTACACAAATGTATAAAACGTATACAAGTATAAACTGTATAAAAAGTGTACAGGTAGTGTACAGATCGTATAAACAATACGCCTGAATTTTTCTCTAAGGAAACATTGTACAGACAGATTGTAAAGCCATAGCGAAACTAGCATTCACACAGGTTACCAAATCGAACGATTCGGTTAGCGTTTTATTTAATCTAGTTTTGTAAGAAATAAATTTAATTTATAATTATTATATTATTTATTTTTATTTATAATAATATAATTATAGTAATTATATATTTTATGGGATTAGCTGTAGAATAGATTTTTAAAAATTAAATAATATATTATAAATATAAGCTTAGAAATAGTTATTATTAATTAATGTGTTATAATTAATGTAAACAATAAATTATTTATTTATTTTTAATTATTTATTAAAATATTTATTTTATTTGGAAAATTAAAATAATAATGATAAAATTAGTATAATTCAATATAAAAATAATAGTATTTGTTAAGTTATTATAAGGAATTCGGCAAAATATTATTCGCCTGTTTAACAAAAACATGTCTTTTTGAGATTATAAATTTAGAGTTTGACCTGCTCTATGAATAATTTAATGGACGCAGTATATTGACTGTGCAAGGTAGCATAATCATTAGTTTTTTAATTAAGAACTGGAATGAATGGTTGGACGAAATAATAACTTTGTTATAATAATTTATAGTAGAATTTTATTTTTCAGTAAAAAAGCTGAAATTGAATTAAAAGACGAGAAGACCCTATAAATCTTTATTATTAATTTATTAAAAAAATTATAGATAATTTTTTTTAGTAATAAATTAATAATTTTATTGGGGTGATATTGAAATTTAATAAACTTTTAATTAATAAATACATAAATTAATGATTTATTGATCTATTATTAATGATTATAAGAATAAGTTACTTTAGGGCTAACAGCGTAATTTTTTTGGAGAGTTCTTATCGATAAAAAAGATTGCGACCTCGATGTTGGATTAAGATATAAATTTAAATGCAAAAGTTTAAAAATTAAGTCTGTTCGACTTTTAAAATCTTAAATGATCTGAGTTCAAACTGGCGTAAGCCAGGTTGGTTTGTATCTTTAATATATTATAATATTTTAGTACGAAAAGACCAAATATTAAATAAATAATTATTTAATTTTGAATAATATTAACTATTTTGGCAGAAAAGTGTAATAAATTTAGAATTTATATATGTAATAATTTACAAATAGTATTGTTTTTATTTGAAGTTATTTTGTTTATTATTAGAAGTTTACTATTAATTATTTTTGCTTTAGTAGGAGCAGCTTTTTTAACTTTATTAGAACGTAAAGTGTTAGGTTATAATCAAATTCGTAAAGGTCCTAATAAAGTTGGAATTTGTGGAATTCCGCAACCTTTTAGTGATGCAATTAAGTTATTTGCTAAGGAACGGACGTATCCTTTAGTATCTAATTATATTTGTTATATATAATCATACCGAGTAGTGGTAACAATAAAACAAATATAAGGATAGGCATACAAGCAAACACTAGCAATAAGATCATACGAGTCAATACTGGAGGTAGTATTCGTAGATGCAAACAAACATGTTCGGCTAGACATGTTTGATCAGACCTAAGCTGGCACATAATAACGGAATAGTGATGGTGACCGCGACTATACAAAAGAGTATGTCGCAACACGCTCAGCCTTTCAATTGTGTCATAGCCGCTAATGTGCTAAAGGTAAGGATCAGGTCGTAGTAAAGGCCTCGTTTGGCCATTAATTCATCATGTTTGCCCGACTGAAAGAGACAAAAGGTTACTATTAGGTGTAATGTTTACTTTGAAATCAGTTACCTCCACTATTCGTCCTTGATCTAATACAACAATCAGATCGGCGTTTCTTATCGTTGACAAACAATGCGCAATTAGTAATGTAGTCCTATTTAAAACGGCATTATCAAGAATTTTTTGAACATCAGCTTCACTTGTGGCGTCTAGAGCACTGATGGCTTCATCAAGTATTAATATTTTCGGATTTTTTTACAAAGCGCGTGCTATTGCAATGCGTTGTCGTTGACCGCCGCTTAATTGTGTACCACGTTCACCGACATTCGTGTCGTATCCATCGGGTAAAGACGAAACAAAATCATGGGATTGTGATTGCTTAGAGACTTCATATATCTCCGATTCGTCGGCTGCCGGACGTCCGTATCGAATGTTTTCCAATATTGTCGTCGCAAAGAGAACTGGTTGATGCTCGATAAAACCTAAGAAATTGCGAATAAAATCTGGGAAAGTTGTAAAATACAGTGTCTTACAAAAATGATATTTGAAAAAGTTAATAGAAATTAAAAAAAAAAAGCAACCACAAGACTTGTGGATTGTGCCCTGATGTCTTATTGTAAAAATGGAATAAATGTTCTCTTCGCCTTCCAGTTTAATGGCTAAGCGCTATAAATAGTTGTACTTGCTAAGAGAACCAAACAAAGTCTACCGCCGGTAATCGTTGTCAGTCTATTGAAATACGAATGAAAGTCTTGTTGCTTCACTATGCTCAACAGACCATAGATCCATATTAACTTAGAGATATATTTGCGTCGGAAGCGTCAAAGAAATTTTGCAAATGGTAGTATATTCCTTTGAGTTGAATGTGTTTTTTTTCAAATTAATTCTTTATGTTTTCATTTATCAAGAACGTTTACCTATGGCATTGCTTCTCAACCACTGAGGCGAAATTTTTTAAAACAACCTTAAACGTGAAGCGAAGTCCAATTATTACTAAAGCTTCTTTTTTAGCAAAAAATGTACCTACGTGATCTGGACTAGTAGGACGGGAAAAGTAAATATTTTCAAAGCGAATTTCTCCATAGAGACGTTCAGGAGGAATTTCGTAGCCACGTAAAAGTTCTACTTTTGGTTCTATTTGTAGGTACTGAAGGATAAAGAAAGAAATTTTTGCATTTGTTGTATATTTGCCGTTAGGAGAAAGAAATTACCTCAAAAATCCTTAAACCAGCGGTCATTCCGCATATCATTGTGCCTAATAAAATTAAACCCTGATTTAACGACCTTTGCACACCTTGTGTTGCTACTAGAAAAGCCATTAATGCACCAGGCGACATGTTCTCAGTGGACATAAGAAAAAGTGTTGATAGTACCAAACCATTCAAAAAGAAATTTGTTAACCCTTGCAAGATTGAAGAGATCTTGACGCAAATGAGCAGCCATTTGTTCACCGATACGACTTAAGACGTATATTTATAAAAAAGTAAAACCTGATTGCGTTAAATACAAACTGAGTAAATTTGAAGCAGGTTTTGCAATATCCTTGAAAAAAGAATTGCTAATAGGATGTTCCACATATGTATTTGCGTAGCTTGCCAATACATTAATAACATCGCCCAGCAAACTTGGAATTCGCATATTAATGTAGGCCACAACGAGCGCAGCCTAAAATAAGTCAGTATTCATAAAAAATCAAATTTTCCTTCATCTGGTTGCAGCGTGTTTTGAAAGATGCCTGTCAAGTCGTTGCCTTCACATTTAACATGCCGAAAACTGCATTGTAAAAGACTAGAGCTACTTAAGCCAATTGTCACTACTTAAAGAGGATATTGAACGTTGTGGTGCAAGCGTCACATAACTGTTGGAAAGAAATCTTAATGCCGAAAAGTGGGCTGCTTTTGAATATTTTATTAATATCAAAGCCAAATTGATCACAGATGGGCGTAATATAACCGATAGAATTAAGAAGAGTCCAGAATTATTAACGGCCCTTAATGAAACTCTAATCCATCATGTACATGTAAACATGTTCGTTTGAATCTATATTTAAAAAATCCACTAACTTTTATGAGAAATTGCAAAAATAGTCTTATTTTTATTTATTAAAAGGTGAATGTTGAGGCCAAAAGTAATTTAATTATCTTGATTTTTAATTGTCCCTCGGCTAGTGTTGGTGGGCCAGACAACGTTGCCGGCAACTTACCGAGGTACCCATCATTACCGGCGCAGTATTTTATGATCGTGCGCCAACGAGGATCCAAACAGAGTAGGTCGGGGTTGCCGTATATTATAAGAAGATAACGAGGTCGAGATGTTGCGAGATTAGTCAGTTTCCCGTTTTGGATATATGGTTCTTGCTTGATCTCACTGCTGAAATTAATATTATATCGCGTTCCTAAAAAAAACCAAGCGAAAGTAACACTAGTATTAATATTGTGTGTAATTTTACGAAGGTTACACCTGTCCTTGGGATTCCTCCATAGTACCAATTTTAGGCATTGCTACGTCCGCAACAACAAAAAGTTTGCGCAAATGTTCAGCTTGTTTTATGTACGGTGTTATAATGCCAATGGATTCCGGTTTAATGTTCTTCCGATACAATTTAACTGTCATTACGAAAACCTTTAACAAAGAAATAAATGTTATGAAATACTAAATAAAAAGGATAGTACTTTTAAACTAAATACAACTTACATCTTTGCTTCGTAAAGATTATACCACGACGGCGAGTAGTTTTCCTGCATATCTTCAGAACGTATTCCGTGCAAGAATATGCCAAATGCTTTGGGTCGATTTGGTGATTGTGGCAGTAAATCGTGAAGTTGCTTCAGCATTTTAGCTTCCCTAGAATTCTCTGCATTATCATTGATAACAACAGTTCATTATTAGCATTCACTCTAGAGGGCAACGCCCGGTAATTGTAGAGTAATCTTATAACCAGGCGAGGGTCAAAAAACCACATGTAAGGGGAAAATCATCAACATTTTTTAAGTAAGGAGCACACGAAAGAATTCTCTCCAAAAATGATAGCGAAAAACCGTGTTCACGAGCACATTTGTTTATAACGAGTGACTGCAATTGATGGGGATCTCCAAGGATTAACTGGCCATGCTCGTTTGATACTTGAGCAATAGCAACCATAACTTCAGGTTCTGTGCACTGGCCCGCTTCATCAATTAGTACATGTGTAAAATGATTGGGTCGAAAACCCATTTGCAAAAATTTCCTGCAGTGGCGCAAGTACCAACCATTACTCGATGGCGCCCTAAAAACTTCATTTGACATTTCATTTTGAGTCCGGACTTGGGCGCAATCATCTCATCTTCAAAGTGGTAGTTTAGGCCAGTATCCTAGTATTTGTCACCTGTTCTGGTATGAGTTCTTTTTTGAGCTCCTTGTGGGATATTAGACGTATAAAGTCACCCATTTTGAGTGCATTAGATTCGATCAAAAGCGTCGTTATTAAATTAGCAGAGCTGTTGGAGGGTGTGCCTACAAGCAGACGTGCACCGGGTATCAATTTAAAAATTTGCAGATTTCCACTAGCGTTATAGTTTTTCCTGTGCCGGAAGGTTCGAAAATCACGTATGGCATGTTAAAAACTTCTCCTCGTAGTATATTTGCTACGGCTCTTTTCTGTTCAGAGTTGAGCATGCAATTGTATCATCCATACCGGCAATTGTCTAACAATCATTTAACCTTATAACTGTGGACGTTCGCGCGACTGCCTTAGGGTGGGAAACAAGAACTGTTCGCCTAAATTCCCAAACGCTCATGAGGCGGCGTAGTGCTGTTTCCGGTAGCAATACCGCGAAAAGTAAAATTCTAAACGATAATCTCGGTAATCATATTTACGCTGAAAGTTGTCATCGAATTTAAGTAGAATGCGATTGTGAAGCACTTTGTGAATCACTCCTTTATACATGCGTTCGGCATTTTTGTCGTCGGCCCAGGGGTTTTTGGCTTTAACAATGTCTCCATCTGCCAACGAAGGACGACGTTAAGAAAGATTTTCCATGACCAGAGCTAAATATTTGCCCTCACGTGGGAAATGTGCCCGTTCACGGTCATACATGCGGACATTAACAAAACACTCCATCTCCTCTAAATATAAAAGTGTTTGAAAGCGATTCACGTAGCTGTTTATGTTTAATTCTTCTCTCAGACTCGGGAACACATTTTCCAACATGTCCTTTTTCCAACCCGCAGTAACATACGCCCGTTTTAGTGGTTCGGGTTCATCAAAGCCTCCGATAAGATGTCTTGGTTGCAACTGCAAATCAATTAAATTCAAAAATTAAAATAAATAAATTATAGTGAAATCAGGAACCATTGTTTGATACTAGTGACCTTAGATCTTTAAAGTCTGATGACATTTCGATGCAAACCCAGTGTTATGGGAAAAACGGTAGCATCGAGATATCATTATGCCAAATACTTAATACCTGGAAGTGTTTAAAAAAATCAGTTCTCGCCAACCGTTAAATATATGCTGCAGAACTTGGGATATATATTATTATCCTGCACTTCCACAGATCGCCGCCCTTTTATGGAATGTTAAGTTAGCCAGTGAAAACGAACGACCGCGTTTTCTATTTATAGCATTTCGAAACGCTGAAATCTACTCATTGCAATTTAACGAATGTAAAGGTACATCTAAATTCCGATTCATATCCATGTGATGAAATAGATGCAGGTGGTGTACTGGACATTTTAATCTCAAATATGAAAATGTTGATGTACCTATTCGTTACACTTATGAAAGAAAGTTTCTATAGAAAAGCAATATGATCTAATCGCAAGTATGCTTGTGAATGTACTATGTGCACTTTGTAGATTTGCCTATAGGCTTAAGCCGGGAGATTATGAGAGTAGAGCTAATAATGCCCGAATGCATGGCCGTCCCATTTCTTGATGAGACGTTCGTTTGCTTAGAACAAGGACATTAGAGAAGACGTTATACTTTGCTTTAGCCCATAGAAATTGCTGTGCACCCAAAGACGAAAAAAGTAGAAAAATATTCAGATACTTCTTTAAAAGTGGGGCGAGCAGAAGTTTGCTTTGGTCAAAAGGAACAAAATTGTATCTTAGATTGGCTAAAAAAGCCGTAAAACAGAGCGAAAGAATTCTTATGTTACCGCTTTTCTTGGGAGGTTATATGATTTGTAAACAAAAACAGTAATGCTGCCCTATGTCCAAGAAAATGTGCCCTAAGAAGATCCGCCGTAAATTAATATTCAATCTATGCCGAAAAGAATCTAACCTGCCTTTAAAAACAGTACTGATTATACCGGCAAATGACTGTCTGAATTGATTTCCATTAAATGACTACTTTTAAGTAAAAAATATTAAATATTTTTGAGCTCTTGCACACATACTTATTCATTTTATTCTCCACCTAGAAACATGCGATAAACTTCTTTTAAGTTCTTCTTTATATTTGAATACTTTATAAGGAAATGATAAACATACATATACATAATAAGAGGAAAATGGACACCGACATGAAACAACTTTGTCCACTTGTGCATATACACGTCTTATGTGATTCTTGATCTGATATTACAGATATTAGAGATTGGCGGGGGAAAAAATAGAATAGAAATTATTTGAAGTTTTCAAAATTTCAAAATTATATGGGCGAGTAAACAGATGGACGGAGGTAAATCAATTGATTAATAATACCCAGTATTTGAAAAAATATTAAGTCTGCTACCACAAAAAGCTTTAAAAATTTAAATTGGATAGAGAGACGAGCGTTGTGCATAGACACACAGCTCAGAAGTATTCTTCATTAAAGCATGTATAAGAACAGCTTTTAATATAGCGTACAAGAATGGGAGAAAGGCGGGTAAATATATTGCAGTTAGAAAAAAAGCTAAATATGATTGCAAAGTAAGTTTCTCGGTCTCGTGAATTTAGAAGACAACATATATAGTTTAACCTGGAACATTTTATTGTTGAGAGTATGGTTTCTAATGCAACTCGAGATAAATGGCTCATTAATAATATGAAAAGCCTCTTTTATGTTGTGTTGAAATGAACTGTGCTTCCGCTTACATTTCCTTTCTTTGCTTATCGGTTTACAATTTTTCAATCACTCTTAAAAAATTCTCTTATTTTTTAACTGAAAGGCTTATCGCTAAACACATCAACAACCCATTAAAAATATTTCGAGAAATAAGAAGAAAAATTGGCGCGTTGCATAATCCAAACGGCATTACAGTAAACTGATATAAACCCTCGCCAGCGGAGAATCCGGTCTTTCCCTTGCCATGTTCGACGACCTCCACCTGCCAGTACCCACACTTCAAATCTAAGGTTGAGAACTATTGCGAACCTGACAAGGTGTAGGGTGTCGCCGATCCTAGGCAAAGGGTAGCTATCTTTCTTGGTTCACAATCTTCCTGTAATCCACACAAAATCTGGTAGATCCATCTTTTTTTTTAACAAGGACTACTGGCGAACACCAAGGGCTATTCGATGGTTCGATAACTTTCTGCTCTTGCATGTCTTTGATTAAGTCCGCCACTTCTCCTCTTTTTGCCAGTGGAATTCTTGTAGGCCTTTGCTGAATCGGATCAGCTCCTACAGTGTTAATTATATGCTTCGCTGCATTAGTACGGCCATTTTAATTC